AAAGTAAAGAAAAAAAAAACATCTGAAGCAGAATGTGAAATGAGAACCCTTGCTGTCTAAAAACAGAAGCAGAAATTCAGATGGGTTGCTCTATAACCCAAAACTGAAACAGAAAGCCTGATATCTGTTATCTGTCTATCCCTTACCATCATTTGATTCCCAATGAACCAAAACTCAGCCAAGCGAGAAAGACCAGAAGGACCAAGGAATGTCGGGATGCCATAATGGACCATGCAAAAGTACTGGCGATAAAAATACCCAGCATCTCAACAGTCATCCCAAACACTGGATTTAAATGGAACACCAAAATCAACAGCACCCCTTCATGCTTTAAAGCCTTAAACAATCACAATACTCTAAAAGGGTAGCCATGCTTTAAACCTCTTGATTTGAAGCATATTCTTATCTTCTGTGATCACTTTAGATGTATGTTTCTCGGAGAGGAGAAGCAGAAAAAGTTTCTTCCAGTTGCAGACATTGAAGCGACGTCGACAAACGATTCCCTCATTTTATCCAAAAATTTTCCTTATTTTTATGGGAAATTGTCTAAAACTCACCATGACTTTTTACCAATTCTCCTAAACTCACCATAACTTTTCAAAGCATCGAGGGAGCCCATGTCAGTGAGATTTATTTTTCCAAACTCACCATCTATTAGAACACCACTAGTGTTCATTGGCAAAAGTTGTCCACATCGGCATAAATGCAACTTCATGACCAAATTGCCCCTGAATTCTTGACAGTGATGCCCGCTGCAAACCTGTGATCAGTACAGTAGTGGGTGCTCTTCCAAAAGCTCTGGACCTCTTCTTTGAGCTTCGAACTATGTTGGCTTGATTCGATGACAGTTAAGCTGAAGGTCGTGCACTATTCTCTGGGGACGCTGGCAATTGCATTGGTCGAATATAACAAAGGGTAAAATGCAAGATGATCAGACTGGCATGAAAGTACAGAAGCTCCATGCATCTCTCTTGCGTTCCACCGGCGTGAAATCACAGAAGCCCCTGCATCTCTCTCGCATTCCACCAGTGTGAAATCACAGAAGCCCCTTGCATCTCTCTCACGTTCCACCGGTGTGAAATCACAGAAACCCCCTGCATCTCTCACGTTATGCTGGTGTGAAATCACATAAGCTCCCTGCATCTCTCTTGCGTTCCACTGGTGTAAAAGCACAGAAACCCCCTTACATCTCTCTCATGTTCCACATTCTCGGAAAGAATTTACCAAACCACTACCGTCTTCTCTACCATCGGAAATCCCAAGAATTGGTGAAAAGTCATGGTGAGTTTTAAACAATTTCCCTATTTTTATTGACTATTTGTAACGTTTTAAAACATGGAGGCGTGACGCGAGGCATTCCACTACCTAGAGGTGTGAAGCATAGTTCAGAACATAAGAGGCGTAAGTCTCCCGAACACAAGGAGGCATAAGCATCCTTAAGAGGAGGGGGTTAGGAGGAAGGAGGAAGAAAAGGGAGGAGGAAGAAGAGGAAGGGGGGTCTCATTTTTTTCTTTATTTTTAATAAAAATCGTTTATATTAAGAAGAATAAAGATGCATAGCACTAGTTGAAAGGGGGTGTTGTCAAAGCGGAGGCGAGCGAGTCAGCGAATGAAGCAAGAGATTTTTTTTCTTCTCTTTCTTTCTTTTTCTTTCCCTTTCCTTTCTTTTGTTTTCCTTTCCTTTCCTTTTTTTATTTTTTCTTTCTTTTAGATTTTTATGAGGTGTGCATGAGGCGCATGCCTCTTGCACCTGAGGCATACGCCTCAGAGGTGTCAGTGCCTCTAGCATACACCTCAGGGCATTTTGGGAGCATCTCGCCTGGAGGCACGATAATTTTTTTCTTCTCTTTCTTTCTTTTTCTTTCCCTTCCCTTTTTTTGTTTTCCTTTCCTTTCCTTTTTCTTTTTTCTTTTTTTGTTAGTTTTTTTTTATATGAGGTGTGCATGAGGCGCATGCCTCTTGCACCTGAGGTATACACCTCAGGGCATTTTGGGAGCGTCTCACCTGGAGGCGTGCCTCTAGGCGTACGCCTTCCACGCCTTTTAAAACACTGATTTGTTATAATTAATTCTGGTTCCGGGAACAATTATATGTCATGACGAGCTTACTGGTTTGTCAAGAGTCTGAGAGAGTTTAGGTGGGAATGGGGAGAAATTTTCGTGTTGGGTAAAATTTGGAGCTAACAGCCATCCGCATGCGCTGAGGAGGAATTCGTGCAGGAGTACATATGGCGGGCTTCCATTGTATGGGGCGTTTGTGGGGCACCTGGCCGTGGGGCGCAGATTTGAACTCAAACAAGCCCATCTCCTTTAAAGTTTCCCTCGAAGTCATGTGTTTGTTTAATAGGCCACATGATAACATTTGTCCCTCTTTGGTCCTAGAAACTCCATGTTTTCTCCTGTTTCACCCGAACTCCTTACCTTGCTCTGGTTTGTAAGCAACCTCATGTTGTTCAAACATTTGTTAACCATCACCTGTCCTTGAGCTTTGCTGCTTTCGTGGCTGGGTTACCAACTGTCATCTCTCTAAAGCAGACACAACCATCTGGGCATAATTATTGAAATGGGTCGTTGGATTTTGATCTTGTGGCCCCGATCTGTAATTAGAAAAGGGAAACTGTAAGGCTACCTTTCCCACTCCGAGCTCAGAGGTTTCCTGATTTCTGAACTTCTAATCCCCCTCTGGAACTTCACACTTCAACTGAAGCAGGAGCATCTTTTTTCCACATCATCATCTTCTCTAACAAGACATCCCTCCTTCCACCAAGAAGCTTCAATGGAGGTAGCGACCCAAGCTCTGTACCCCACCCCACCTGTTTGAATTTATAACAGACGTGGAACCAGTTCTGGTTTTGCTCCTATAAAATTAATTACAGCTGCTCTCAAGTTTGAAGACCTCCACTGACCAAAGATGAAACAGAAAACCCAAAATTCTGAGTTCACTACCCATTGTTGGATCAACAGTATTGGCATTACTCAGGGGGACCACCTTTGGACCATTGCCAGACCTTGCTTTGTTTCTACTGAAGTTTCTACAATTTCCTGCTCAACAGGAGGCAACGTAATCAACACCCTCCTTCCATCAAAAGGAACTATCCTCACATCCCCTGAAACCTTCAGCACCTGTTTTATCTCTTCCACCAAACTGTTCCAATCTCTGTCCACTTCTTTTGCCAAGAGCACCAGTTTTTTCTCCCATTCTTCTTTGGGTTTATTCACGCAAACTTTTTTCTTCCCCAGGTTTGTAGCTAACTGTAAATCATCTTCTTCACCAGATTGAAAATTTTTCATGCCCCAGCTTTGTGATCCTATCTCCACCTTTTCCTTCATGTGATTTCTATCTTGAACTTCTTTTGTGTCCCTCTTCTTTTCACTGGTTATCCTCAAGAAATCTTGCAAGGCTTGCTCAATCACATTCCAACCCAAGGCTCTCCTTCCTTCAGGGAAGCATGTGAATTGTTTCAAGCTGTCTCCATAGTGCTCAAAAACTCCAACATACCTGCCCTTTCTATTTCCTCTTCTTTCCGCAACACACTTCCTGCTTTCTTCAACATGACAGGTCTTCCATTCTCTTTGTTGTGCTGAGTTCATGGCACCTTCTAAAACTCCTTGAAACCACAGCACTTCTCTTCCAGTGAGAATCAAAGAAGCTTACCTTAGCTCAACTATCTTCAGAGAAAATCCTCCCCTGGTCCAAACTTCCTCCAAGATGAAAGTCTCCGCTTCTTTCTTCAAGATATTCTTCCATCTTCTTGCTGGTTAGAACTCCATTTCTAGTAGAGCTAATCTTTTCTGCTTCACATTCTTCCTCCACTTCCTAAGAGTTGTCTCGCCAAACAATTCCAAGGGGAAGTGGAGAATAGGCTAGGTTTCTTCTTCAACATATTTTAATCACTGTTCTCAAAAAATTATTTTTTTCATTTGATGATACAGCATTTATAATCAAAATAGTGAAAATGACAAGCATGCCCCTGGCCAACCAGACATAATAAAAATAAAAAATACAAACATAACCTCTCAAGATATCTTAACCACTATCTTCAAAAAAAAAACGTATTAATTTGCTTTGTTTGACAGAAAAACAAATTGTTTTGTTTCAGCACTAAAAATAATTAGATCAAAGAATTAGCTAAAGCTATCAGAAGCATAATTTACAGAACCAAGAGGATATTCTTACAGAATGCATGCCCCCATTTGTAGCAAAACCAATGGATGAAAACCAGTTTCAGTATAAATGCCTGTCACATGTCCCAACAGAAAATAAGAAATAAGGAAGCAGTAGCCATTTTTTATCTAGCTTCCTTTGTATTAATTTATCCTTGTTTTACTTTTACTTGATACCATCCCCCCAATCCATCTCACTTAACTTTAATCTTATACTCTTTTTTCATCTTCCATCACTAAAAACTAATTACTTTCCTTCCAATTTTCATTGACATGAATATGGTTATATCTTCACAAATTTAATTCCTTGTATCCAAATCCATTAAGTCCAACAATGTCAGTTTCATTCTTGTTGTGCTCAATTATCCAATATTGGCATTGGACTACTGATATCCAAATTTGCTAGACACTGGTAAAACTAAATGATATGCTAACACAACCAGCACAATGGGGTTGAAGAACATATTCAAGAATATTCTTTAACCATACCCGAATGGATAAGTGATTCTAGCTACCAGATATCCTCTAACATGCATGCATTTTGCCCACCTTTTTATGGGTAAATAGGATCTTGCCCACCTTGTCTCTATGCTAAAATGGAAAAATAACCATTTACATAAATTAGTGCCAATATGATGTCAAATCTAACAAGTGAGAAACAATATAGAATGGTTTAGATCTATTCATTATTCTGTTTCTTGTTATTAAACAGGTATTGTAAATTATGTACTAACAACAATGACAATGCCAACAACAGAATACAATTTGAAAATGCAAAAAAAAAAAAAAAATCTTAAATTGGAGCATAGTATTTGCAAGATGTTACTGAAGACTTACTTCTGTTGACAATTTTTCAATTTCAGCAGTATAGAAGTCAATTGCATCCACAGTCTTCCCACAAATGCCCCAGAAACCTGTCTATATATAAGATCTTATTTAAGATGATGGACTCATAACTAAATGGTAGCTGTAGATTAGAAGATGATCATCTTTGAGAAAATAAATATAACCTCCAAAAAGTCAAGAAAAACTAAATTCACTATATATCATGTGAAGAAAATTACCTTTTATCTTTTAATAAAACAATTTTTTCTTGCTGATAAAAAAAAAAGAAAATTACCATTACTGTTGGCTTTTTTGCAGGATCTCTCTTATATTTATTTTGGTAGTACTTAAGCCAGTTTTGCAAAGTCTTCTTTTTCTTCAACAGTTCTGAAAGCTTGTTTACATTGCACACAACCTACAGGTCCAAAGCAACTGTGGCATATATATTTTGAAATGCATGAAACTCCAATATGGAACAGAAAAAATGAATAACAAGGAAAATTTAATCCATGCATAATTTTTCTCTTTGTATCTCAAATGCCTTTTAACATAATAGTTCCTTTTGCCAACCAACAAAGAGGAGAAACAAGTGTAAAACCTGATGACAAAGATAGTAATCTGGATGATTCACACAAAAGAAATGCTCAACATGCTCACTAACTGACTCATCAGGATCTGAAGGGACATTTCTCACAAGAACCTGTGGAAAAAATTAGGGTCAACAGAACAACAAAGTAGAACTAAGATCTAAGAGCTAGATAAGCAGATTATTCAGGGAAAAGGAGAAAACCAAAAGCAATCCCAGCAACCATTAATCATGACAATTGTAACATGATCCTCTATATGATAATAAAAATGGACTTCTAGACAAAAGAAAAAGAAATAGTTAAATGCCACCATCATCATCTAAGCCTTGTCCTAACTATATGGAATCAGCTACATGAATCCTGTTCTGCTACTACATCCTATTCAGTATCATATACATTGTTGAATTATAGGCCCTTAAATCACTTCTTACTATTTCAACCCATGTGTTTTTGGTCTGCCCCTAGCTCTTCTAGCCCCTTTAACTTCTAACAAATTTTCAAAAGTATAATGTCGTAAAAACAACCAATTTTTGTTTGGAGATATAAAAATAAATATTATTTCCAAAGAAAATTCTGATCAATTCAATCAACAAAAGAAAGTAAAATACAAATTACTTAATTGTTAATACTGACAATCACAAACAAATTCATGCATCCATGCCACCTTCTTATTCATTGCTCAAATGTGGACAGCAAATTGGGGCCATTTGGTAGTGGCTGAAATGACTGAATTGAATGACTTAATGCTTTGTCTTTTAGTAGATAAATAGTTTATTATAAAAGACATTAAGGTCTAGTAATCAACCCAAATTCATCTTCAGCCATTAAGGAGCTCACAACCTCCTAAATATTGTATTCACTAAAAAGCACAGCAATAAGTCATTTGGTTGATTAGTTCAGCCACTTCAACTGTTATCAAGAAGCCCCTAAGGCTGTCAGGTCGTGGAAAATTGAGCCCAACCTGAAGGCCAGACAATTATGCCAACCCAATGTTTAACCATGACCAACCCAACCTAAACCCCAATAAGGTTGATTATCATAACATGCAAAACAAATATGTTAGTGAAGTTTGACCTTGCAACCTATTTCATTAAGAATAGGGTTCCTACCATTGGGCCAATCCATTGTTATCTTACAACTTGTGCACATGTGTGTAAGCAAACAACTGAACCTCATGCATGAAAAACTCAATGCAACATCCTGGAAACCAGATTGATAAGATGGATTTGGCTTGAACCATAAGCTCAGGTGGCTTCTCCAAACTAAAGAATTTTGCTCATGTTCTGCCTCATCAAATAAAATACTACTAGTGTGTATGAGTAACTAGCAACAGATACCAACTCAGCTTGCTATTACATATGTATGTGATTTTCAGGACTGACCAACATCACCTATTAGTTGATTAGTGGAAACTTGCTTACTTTTAATAGCCAAATATTAAGCATGGCTTTATTCATGGATAATAAAGCAAGACAATAGGAAGTATTTTTTTTGATAAGCAATAAAAGCATTTTATTAAGATTAATCAAGATAAACTATCAAAGGATACAGCATAAATTTTCCACAGAGAGGTAATGGGGTGTTGCCTCAAATAACAAAGAAAAATTACAATTGACCCCAAAATAAATAATCATCTGTGGAAAAATAAAGACGAAGAGAAGAAGAAAGGGAGAGAAAAAGAAATACTTCTGTATTGATAGTGTGTTGATAAAACATGTTGAGCATACAACTTRAATAAGAAAAGATAGGAGAGACAAACTCCTAGGATCTCTCTCAATTACTCCTAKAATCTCTCTCAATTAGGGATTGATTAAATCTTTCCCTTAATCCTAGGATATGACTTTCCTAATTTTATTCAAATCTAATCTTTYCTAAATTTATTMAAATCTATAATCAATCAAATCAAATCTTTCTAAATTTGCAGCAAATCATATCTTTCTTAATTTGCCACAAATCATATCTTGTCGACATCATCCCTATTCACCCCTTTCTTAGCTAGAAGGTTTGCCAACCAATTAGCCGATCTTCTAATTGTTGTGTTGGAGGTTAGCCACTTGGAGAAGGTAGAGGCCTATTCTAATGTTGACTGGGCAAGTTCTATTGATGATAGGCAGTCTACTTCTGGCTATTGTACTTTGGTGGTTGGTAATGTTGTATCTTGGAGAAGTAAGAAGTAATCAGTTGTGGCTCGATCTAATGCAAAGGCAGAGTACAGATCTATGGCACATGGAGTCTCAGAATTGTTGCGGTTGAAGAACTTGTTGACAGAAATGGGAGTGCAAATTGATACTCCAATGATATAGTTGAAAAACAGCCCACTTGATGTATGGAACTGTTTGATATTAGATGCAAACTAGAAAATGAACAAACAAGAGAGGAAGAGAAGAGAGAGCTGGCAGCAATGAGTGTTAGAGAGTAAGAGGTTCGAACATTACCCCTCTCTAACACTCTAAACATCTTATTAATAAGTTAATCTTTTACAAATTACAGAGAGGCCCTTGAGTGAGCAGGAAAATACAGAAAAACAGACTATTACAGAGTATGGGCCCAGAATAAGGCCCACAACAGAGAGAAACATAACATAACATAAAATGACAGTCTATGGGCCATTCGGCCCATCTTCTCTACAGATATTATATTGTGACAATCGAGCTGCCATAAACATAGCCCACAACCCTATTCAACGTGATCGTACAAAGCATATAGAGGTTGGTCAACATTTCATTAGAGAAAGAGTTGCCAGTGGAGAGATTTGTCTACCTTATGTGGGGACTGAAGACCAGTTGGCTGATTCTCTTACTAAAGGTGTTCCCAAATCAAAGCTCGACAACAATTTGAACAAGCTGGGCATGATAAATATCTATGCTCAACTTGAGGGGGAGTGTTAAGAGTGTGAGGGCATTTCTGTCCTTTTGTGATTTTTTTTGTATTTAGGTGCCTATTCAAGGGAACCTTTGTAATTTTGCTTGTGAAGAAAAAATGAAAAATCTCTTGGTGTGAACAGTGCCACACCAAGCATTCTCAACACTTCTTCTCTTCACTCTTCAACATCTCTAAACCTTACAATTAAGACTAAGACTATAGTACAATGACACGCCTAGACATTTCATATGCAGCCCAGATTGTAAGTCAATTTGTCTTTGTTTTGCATCAACCTCACATGACAATTGTACACCATATCATTAGATATATCCAGGGGATAGTTTCCTATGGTGTGTTCTTCCCATCCACCTTGTCACTTCAGCTCTCTGCTTATGCAGATGCCGATTGGGCTGGTTGTCCATATACTAGAAGATCTACCACTGGGTGGTGCATATTGTTATACAGGAGAGAAGAAGAGAGGAAGAGAGAAGAGAGATTTGAGAGTCAAAAGATAATACTGGCGGCACCAACTTTTAGTATTTATACTAGGGTGACAAAACATAAAAAACGTAAAAGGAGGAAAATACAATAGTACCCCTGCGGTATTGTACTTAAAGAATAATCGACTTTTAACACTCCCCCCTCAAGTTGGGACATAGATGTCAATCATGCCCAACTTGTCACATAAATCATGATGTCGTGAGTGATGTAACCCTTTTGTGAAGATGTTTGCAAGTTGGTCTTCAAAACTAACATAAGGGGTACACACTTCCCCTGTGATGACTTTTTCTCTGATAAGATGTTTGTCGACTTCGATGCGTTTAGTTCTATCATGCAACATTGGATTAGTAGCAATGTTTATGGCTGCTTTGTTATCGCAGAATAGAGTCATAGGTCCATCAATTGAAAAACCCAACTCACTCAACAAACTTTTAGCCACATAATTTCATCCTCTCCATCAAACATTGCCCTATATTCAGCTTCAGCACTAGACCTAGCTACCATATTCTGCTTTTTGCTTCTCTAGGTAACTAGGTTCCCTCCCACAAAGGTACAGTAGTCGCTGGTCGACTTCCTGTCATTCAAGGACCTTGCCCAATTTGCATCGGTATACACTTCAACTTTCAAATGCCCGTGCTTGTGAAACAATAAGCCTACACCTGGAAACTTCTTAAGATATCTGAGAACTCTTTCAACAACTTCAAGGTGCGTAGTCTTAGGGGCATGCATGAATTGGCTAAGAACACCCACTACATAAGCAATGGCTAGTTGAATCATAGAAAGATATAACAATCTTCCTACAAGTCTCTAAAACTGTTTCACACCCTCGATGGCTTCACCTTGACAGTCACCTAATTTGTGATTAGGATCAATAGGAGAATCAACCAGCTTCACTCCCAATTTTCTTGTATCCTGGAGTAGATCTAGGACATACTTTCTTTAAAAAATGAAGATACCCTTTTGTGAGCAGGCAACTTCAATCCCAAGGAAGTACCTTAGAGGACCTAGATCTTTCACTTCAAACTAGGTAGATAGAAATCTCTTCAACTTTTGAATTTCATCCTTCCAATCACCAGTGATAACTATACCATCAAAATATACTATCAGTGCTGCAATTTTCTCTTCCCCTCTTTTCACAAACAATGTGTGATCAGATTGACACTACTTGTATCCTCTTTGCTGAACCGCTACATGAGACCTGCTGAACCAAGCTCTCGGTGATTGTTTCAAGCCATATAATGATTTTTAACCTACACACTTTCTGTTCATTACCTTGAGCCCGGAAACCAGGGGGTTGTACCATGAATACTTCCTCTTCAAGGTCACCATTTAGAAAGGCATTCTTGATGTGTAGTTGATGAAGGTCCCAATCAAGATTAGCAGCTAAGGATAAAATGACTCTAATGGAGTTCATCTTAGCAACGGGTGCAAAAGTTTCTACATAATCCACTCCATACATTTGTGTAAACCCCTTTGCCACTAAACGAGCTTTATACCGCTCCAATGTACCATCAGCCCTATGTTTTACTGTGAAAACCCATTTACATCCAACTGGTTCCTTCCCCTCAAGAAGATCTACTAATTCCCATGTGCCATTTTTATGTAAAGCATTATTCTCTTCCTTCATAGCATTTGTCCATTCAAGCACCAAAAGAGCTTCTGCCACATTCTTAGGAATAGGAACACTGTCAATGGAAGAAAGGAAGATGAAATGTTTTCATAGGAAACAAAGTGGGAAATGGGGTGTTTA